AAAAAAAAAGCAAGATGGACCTGGAAGGGCCGGGAGAGAATCCGCTTCCCCTCACTTAACAGGCGGGGAAACTGAGACCCAGGGATGAAGAGGGCTTACCCCAGGCTACTCAGAGTGTGGAAGAAACGGTTGAGACCAGGACTGAGGTGGGTGAGGGAAGGAAGAAAGGGTGCAGACCAGAATCGGGGAAGAGTCCACGGGGTTCTGAGCCCTGATCCCAGGTTTGGACTCAAGCCCCGTTCCTCCATCTCTGTGTGTCAGCTTCCTGCCTATAAAATAGGGTTCACAACGGTCCCCTCCCCCAGGATTGATGTGAGCACTGAGTGAGGTAAGATGGGCAAAGAACTTAAAGCAGCCCCTGTATATCAGAAGGTTCAGCGAGCACCGGCCACTGCTCACGTTCCTTAAGGCCTCGGGGTGCCCAAGTTCTTAAGATTGTTCAGTCAGGGTGACTTTCTGGGACTTTAAAGACTTACCTGGGAGGGCTTGCCCTGCTATGATGCTGGAAATCTTTAGGAAACTCTCTTCCCCTCTGGGACCTCAGTTGCCCCATCTGCAAATGAAGGGATTGAGTCTCAGGGTGCAGCATCTGTTTGTGTAGGCGGGGTTATCATGCCCCCCCCCCTCAGGAATGAAAGTGCCAAGAGGCAGGGGCCTCAGTGCACTCTCCCTGTTCCCTTGTGGCTGTCGAATGAATGAATGAGCCATTCTGTGAAGTGGGCTGTCCGCTCTGATCCCAGGAGTGTGTGCAGAAGGCACAGCTGGGGAAGTACGTGCCAGAAGCGCAGAATTCCAGGAGAGACAGACAGCCCATTCGAGTTACAAAACTCTCTTCCTTAAATACAAACCAACAGGGGCAAAATGACCTTTGTTTTGGATGTGTCAATGGGGAGGCCCCATGCTACATCCGCCTTATCCATCATCTCCACAGTCATCTACTTCATGGCTTCCATTTGACAGATGAGCACATTGAGGCTAAGAGCACCAAGAAATTTGTCCAAGACGTCCCGATAAAAAAAGAGTCGTCAGGCCATGGAGTTTGACTCTTCGTTGTACTGTTGGGGAAACTGAGGCCCAGAGAAAGGAGAAGAATTGCCCGAGGTCGTATAATAATAGCAGCAAACAGTGACGTCGGTCTCACTACATACCAGTGCTTTTCTGAATGTACCATGTGCCGAGCGCTTTTCATATATTAAACCCACAAACCTGTCATATTCTCACCATGCCAGTCTACGCGGAGAAGCATGGGTCAGAGAGGTTCCTTGTCCTGCCACGGTTGCACAGTTCAGCAGATGGACCCAGAGAAGTGTGGCATTAATGGCTGCTCTGCGTTGCCCGTGTTTGGGTGTAGATCAGAGCAGGCTGGTATGAGAACGCAGATGCCTTTGCCCAGCACCCTGCAGCCTGGGCTGGGGGCAGGGCAGAGAACAGAAGTCCTCAGACTGCCCAGCCACAGCTGGGGCTTTCCACCTTGAAGGGAGGGGACTGTTATGGAAACAATGATACAGCAGATGATAAACAATGATGAAGATGTAAGTCTCCCCAGGGGCCCAGCTTCTCAGAGTCCTCCCCAGCCACGGGGGAGGGTCAGAGACTCCGCTGGCCTGGTCCCTGTCAGATGAAGGCCACCTGGGTACTGCTGAACCCCAGCCCACCCAGCTATTCAAGTACTGAGGCTTTCTGGCTTTGATGGAAAGTATGAATTACTCAGCCAGGGCCACAAAGCTCCCACTCGAGAAGAATTGGGTCAGGCTGGAACCCCCCATGGTGGAGGGTGGGAAATTCCTGTGGGGGGGGAGGGTTCCATCCTTGCTTTATTCAGCAGGCCTTGCCAAGGTAGATGCTCTACAGGAAGGCAAGGTGGGCTGGGGGGCAGAGGTGGGGCATGGCTGACAGGGCAAAAACTTCAAGTCCCCGCTCTGGTTGAGATGGGAGGAGAAAGGTAACTGAGTGGTGGGAGTCGTGGAAAATTTATCTACAGCTGCTTTATACAGATTGAGAACCTCTCAACTCTGCCATGACCATATGGCCTTAGGCAATCAAAACACACGGAGTGAAGAGGTTAGGGTTGAATTCTCTATGTGACTACTTCGTCTGGAGAATATTTGAATATTCGAGTTCAACAGCTTGAAAAAATATACAAGCTCAGTTTCAATTTCAGCAGTGTTCCTGACTATTCGGTTCAGGGTTCAGTTAAAAATAATTATAATGATGGGACGGGAGCCCCAGATTCAGCAGTGTGAGCAGTTTCCCCCAGTTCCATCTGGTTCAAGTTCAAGACTTTTCCCATCATTACCCTGTGTAACAAGCCACCCCAAAGCTGAATGGTATTTGAAAAACAATCATTCTATTATAGATTTGGTGAGTCAGAAATTTAGGCCGGGAAAAGTGGGTACAGATCCTTTCTGCAGCCTCAGTGGGGAATTCTAAGAGTGGAGGACTTGGTCATCTGCAAGTATCCTCACCCACATGCCTGGAGGTGCGCACGGTGCGGGATCTTGTATATATGTTGCCTTTCTCGGTGGCCTGGCCTATTGCCTCTGTAGCAAGTCACTACAGCAGCTTAGAGCAGCACAAATGTAGTAAACTACAGTGCTGTACAATGGAAGTCCAGTCCGGGGCTCACTGGAGTCAAGGTGTCAGCAGGACATTCCTGGCTGGCAGTTCTGGAGGAGAATTGGGTCTCCTTGCCTTTCCCAGCTCTAGAGGCCGACGCTTTCCTTGACCCCTTCTCCATCTTCAAAGTCAGTGGCTTGGGATCCAGCCTAGTTCACACCGACATCTTTCTGGTTCTCCTCTACTTCACCCTTGTGATTTATCCCACTGAGCCCATCCAGATAATGCCACATAATGTCCCTGCTTTAAAATCAGCTGATCAGTAACCTGAGTTCCATCTGTGACCTTAATTCCCCTTTGTCATGTAACAACATATTTAAGGTTCCAGACACGAAGCCATGAACATTTTGAAGAGCTGTTACTCTCCTTCCATAGCAGGATAGGGTGGAGGATAGGAAGGTAATGAGTACTCATGCTACACACACACACACACACACACACACAGAGACACACACACACACAGAGCCTTGTTCTCACGAATAGAGAAGGTCCTAAGTCAAAGGTCTGTGGGATGTTGGGTACACTGGCACACTGACCCCAGATCATGACCTTGCCTCTCTTCCTCAGGTCTATA